TGTAGCCTATAGATATAAATTTCACAAGATTTTTACAAATGTATTTTTTATGTATTGTTTTCTCTTTATTCAAGCTTCCCGCTACCCACCCGCCCTTCATCCACACAATATTTCATGACCCTAAACCCACCCGCCCGCCCCACGGATATAACAACGGGACATGAGTCAACCCGCGCATCACTAACAGCTTTGACCCACCTCTGCCTCATCTGGCTCACCTCAACTTAGGTACAAATGGTATTAAAACATCACCTCAAGGTTAATGTTTATGGTAGTTCTAAGTAGGAGGGTTAGGGGTATGGGCTTAGGGTTCGACTTTGGCCAACAGTATGTGGGTCAGGTTAATAATGGCTGGAACAGAGCATTATGGAATGGCATCAAACACATGGAATCCATGTGTTTGATTAATTTGATTCTGCTCCAGCCATTACCACGAGCCCGTTCTCCCAATTAAGGTGCCACCAACTTCCTGTGAGCTACACTCTCAGAAAAAGGGTACAGTTAGGGTACAGTATTGTTCCCTGGGGCACAGAAATATCAAAATACACATAATGTACCTTCAGAGGTACCTGTTCGGTACCTTTTAGGGTACATGTGCGGATAATCTAGTACGTTTTTGTACCAAATATAAAGGTACAATGATTATTTTGGGCCACCCGTGGTTGGAAGTGTTGTAACAGTTTAAGTGGTCTATGGTTATGTTCATTAAAGTTTGAGCATTTCCTCTACCACTTCTGAAGTTTTTATAAAAGCTTACAGGTGTAGGATCTTAATTTGATAACTTTGTTGCTGAACATTGTCTTGCGCTGTAGATGAGCTTTGTGATTTACATAAATTCATCAGAAATCCGCACCTACACATATTAACACAATTGAACTTTTTATGTAGTCTAATTTTGGCCAGCTGATAGCCTAACCACTGATAAAGCAACATAATGAACAAAAAGGTCAAATCCTGTTGCTGCAGGGGTTTTTTCTGCAACAATACTGGTCAAATTAGGATCCTACATACATAAGAGCAGGTGACAATAAAGAGCTGTAATTAATATTGTAGTGACCTTAATCTAACACTAAGCATTTCAATTCCAGTCAATTCAGAAAGTCAACCCAATTCCAATTCCAAATGTACTTTATTGAAAAGCATTGAAGAGAAATGTGTACTTCCTGAATTGACTCGAATTGAAATGGAATTGACTCCAACTCTGGCTCTGAGCAAGATTATTATAGTAAATGAAAACGGAAACTAAAATGAAAACAAATCATGAAAACATTTAGTAAACTGAATTAAAATAAGGAACAAACCCGTTTGAAAAAAAAGGAAAACTATACTGAAAGTTTTATCTTTGACTACAAAACTAATTAAAATAAAATAAAACCATCATGAACCACTAGGTTCCTCCTCTAACAATCTCCTAATATTGTTTTAACATTCCCCATTCCCCTAATGTTCTCCTAACGTTCCTCCCCTAACATTCCCCTAACGTTCCGCTAACGTTCCCCTAATATTATTTTAACATTCCCCCCGTTCCCCTAATGTTCCACCCCTAACGTTCCTCCCCTAATGTTCCCCTAACGTTCCTCCCCTAACATTTCCCAAACTATATTTTCCCCCAACATTTTTGGGCCAAAACTCTAATGGGGTTTTATCTGACAGGTATATTTTGCCAGGGGGTGGCATTGTTTCAAATGGGCTTAGTATGTGGATACCCCTTCACATTAGTGGATTCGGCTATTTGAGCCACACCCGTTGCTGCCATGCAATCTCCATAGACAAACATTGGCAGTAGAATGGCCCGTACTGAAGAGCTCAGTGACTTTCAAAGTGGCACCGTCATAGGATGCCACCTTTCCAACAAGTCAGTTCGTAAAATGTCTGCCCTGCTAGAGCTTCCCCGGTCAACTGTAAGGGCTGTTATTGTGAAGTGGAAACGTCTAGGAGCAACAACGGCTCAGCGGCGAAGTGGTAGGCCACACAAGCTGAAGCACGTAGCGTGTAAAAAATCGTCTGTCCTCGGTTGCAACACTCACTACCGAGTTCCAAACTGCCTCTAAGCAACGTCAGCACAATAACTGTTCGTCGGGAGCTTCAAGAAATGGGTTTCCATAGCCGAGCAGCCACACACAAGCCTAAGATCACCATGCGCAATGCCAAGTGTCGGCTGGAGTGGTGTAAAGCTCGCCGCCATTGGACTCTGTGTCACGATCGTCGTTACAGGAAGCGGACCAAGGCGCAGCGTGTGATACAAACATGACTTTATTTTAATAACGAACAAACCAAAACACGACTCGTGAAGTCCAACGGTTAAACATACCGAAACGGAACAAAAACCCACAACACCCACAGGAAAACATACAGATTAAATATGGCTCCCAATCAGCGATAACGAGCCGACAGCTGACACTCGTTACCTCCGATTGGGAGTCATTGACCAAACATAGAAATAAACCCAACAGAAATACAAACATAGAAATACACCCAAATAATGAACACACCCTGGCTCAAATTAAGAGTCCCGGAGCCAGAGCGTGACAGTACCCCCCCCTAAAGGCGCGGACTGCGACCGCGCCTCAACTAACCAAAACAGGGGAGGGCTGGGCGGGCATACCTCCTCGGTGGCGGTTCTGGCTCCGGCCTTGATCCCCACCTCCTCTCCAACCCCCCCAAAGTACCCCTGGTCCTGTCTAGCCCCGCCGGCCGGAGCCAGACTGACGACACGCGCCCCTGGCTTGGTGCGTGGAGGACGAACGGGCCTTACCAGGCTGACGACGCGCACCACTGCCTTGGCGCGGGGAGCAGGAACGGGCCGGACCGGGCTGATGAAGCGCACCCCTGACTTGGTGCGGAGAGCGGGACCGGACCGGACAGGGCTGACGACACGCACCACAGACTTGGTGCGGGGAGCAGGATTGGGCCGGACCGGGCTGATGAAGCGCACCCCTGACTTGGTGCGTGGAGCAGGAACAGGTCGGGCAGGGCTGTCGACGCACACCGTAGACCTAGTGCGTGGAGCAGGAACAGGCCGGGCTGGGCTGGCGACGCACACCGTAGTTCTAGTGCGTGGAGCAGGAACAGGCCGGGCTGGGCTGGCGACGCACACCGTAGTTTTAGTGCGTGGAGCAGGAACAGGCCGGGCTGGCGACGCACACCGTAGTTCTAGTGCGTGGAGCAGGAACAGGCCGGGCTGGGCTGGCGACGCACACCGTAGTTTTAGTGCATGGAGCAGGAACAGGCCGGGCTGGGCTGGCGAAGCACACCGGAGTTCTAGTGCGTGGAGCAGGAACAGGTCGGGCTGGGCTGGCGACGCGCACCGTAGACTTGGTGCGGGTGGCAGGAACAGGCCGGGTCGGGCTGGCGACGCGCACCGTAGACTTGGTGCGGGTGGCAGAAACAGGCCGGACCGGGCTGGCGACGCGCACCGTAGACTTGGTGCGGGTAGCAGGAACAGGCCGGACCGGGCTGTGGAGACGGATAGGAGGCCTGGAGTGAACAGCGGCCACCACCCGTCCTGGCTGAATGCCTACCCTCACACACTCTGTGTGAGGCATCCGCACAGGACGTACAGGGCGGTGTACCCCTGGCCTGGTGGCCTCCTGGATTCGCCCCATCTTTGCCTCCGTCGTCCATGCCGTGTGCCCCCCCCTAAAAATGTATTGGGGTTGCCTCTCGACCTTCCGACGATGGCCCTGCTGACGCCGTTGCTCCTCTCTCGCCAGGGCCTTGATCCTCCCCCAAGGTCCCTTGCCCCCGAGCATGTCCTCCCAGGACCACGATTTGCCCACCTGGGCCATCGCCAGCCTCTCGATCTCCTTACCCGGCGCTTCCTCCCATGTCCAATCTCCTTGCTCCTGGACACGCTGCTTGGTCCTTTTTTGGTGGGTTTTTCTGTCACGATCGTCGTTACAGGAAGCGGACCAAGGCGCAGCGTGTGATACAAACATGACTTTATTTTAATAACGAACAAACCAAAACACGACTCGTGAAGTCCAACGGTAAACATACCGAAACGGAACAAAAACCCACAACACCCACAGGAAAACATACAGATTAAATATGGCTCCCAATCAGCGATAACGAGCCGACAGCTGACACTCGTTACCTCCGATTGGGAGTCATTGACCAAACATAGAAATAAACCCAACAGAAATACAAACATAGAAATACACCCAAATAATGAACACACCCTGGCTCAAATTAAGAGTCCCGGAGCCAGAGCGTGACACTCTGGAGCAGTGGAAACGCGTTCTCTGGAGTGATGAATCACGCTTCACCATCTGTCAGTCCGACGGACGAATCTGGGTTTGGCGGATACCAGGAGAACGCTACCCGCACGAATGCATAGTGCCAACTGTAAAGTTTTGTGGAGGAGGAATAATGGTCTGGGGCTGTTTTTCATGGTTCGGGCTAGGCCCCTTAGTTCCAGTGAAGGGAAATCTTAACGCAACAGCATACAATGACATTCTAGACGATTATGTGCTTCCAACTTTGTGGAAGCACATAAGGCCCTTTCCTGTTTCAGCATGACAATGCCCCCTTGCACAAAGCGAGGTCAATACAGAAATGGTTTGTCGAGATCGGTGTGGAAGAACTTGACTGGCTTGCACAGAGCCCCGACCTCACTAATGCTCTTGTGGCTGAATGGTCCCTGCAGCAATGTTCCAACATCTAGTGGAAAGCCTTCCCAGAAGAGTGGAGGCTGTTAGAGCAGCAAAGGGGGGACCAACTCCATTTTAGTGCCCATGATTTTGGAATGAGATGTTCGATGAGCAGGTGTCCACATACTAGTGTAATATAAAAACGAAATGTAAATAGTTTATAAAAATAAAACTCAATAAAAACGAGCAAATCAGCTCTGAAACTAACTGAAACTAAACTGAATGTCAAATAACAATTGAAAAACTAATAGAAATAAAATATAAAATAAAACACAAAACTATAATAACCTTGGCTTTCAGAACTTCTGCATGTACTGTAAGTATTGTTCTTGTTCTTGTTCTTTTAGAGAGCCCATATTCCGCCAGCTGTGCTGTCTGAACTGGTTGCTAGAGGCACTGACTCTGGACAGGACTGGGAGAGCTGGACCCGTCACGTCCTGCTGGGATCTCAAGTAAGTCACAGGTCACAGGTCAGAGGTAATTTTATGGACCCCAGGCAGCTTGGGTTGGGTTAGCTGTTGTGTTGTTGCTGGCAGAGGCCAGGACTGAATCACACAGTCTTGACCAGGGTTGGAGAGTAACTGATACATGTAATCAGTTACAGTGAGGGAAAAAAGTATTTGATCCCCTGCTGATTTTGTACATTTGCCCACTGACAAAGACATGATCAGTCTATAATTTTAATGGTAGGTTTATTTGAACAGCGAGAGACAGAATAACAACAACAAAATCCAGAAAAACACATGTCAAAAATGTTATAAATTGATTTGCATTTTAATGAGGGAAATAAGTATTTGACCCCTCTGCAAAACATGACTTAGTACTTCAGGCAAAACCCTTGTTGGCAATCACAGAGGTCAGACGTTTCTTGTAGTTGGCCACCAGGTTTGCACACATCTCAGGAGGGATTTTGTTCCACTCCTCTTTGCAGATCTTCTCCAAGTCATTAAGGTTTCGAGGCTGAAGTTTGGCAACTCGAAGCTTCAGCTCCCTCCACAGATTTTCTATGGGATTAAGGTCTGGAGACTGGCTAGGCCACTCCAGGACCTTAATGTGCTTCTTATTGAGCCACTCCTTTGTTGCCTTGGCCGTGTGTTTTGGGTCATTTTCATGCTGGAATACCCATCCACGACCCATTTGCAATGCCCTGGCTGAGGGAAGGAGGTTCTCACCCAAGATTTGATGGTACATGGCCCCGTCCATCGTCCCTTTGATGAGGTGAAGTTGTCCTGTCCCCTTAGCAGAAAAACACCCCCAAAGCATAATGTTTCCACCTCCATATTTGACGGTGGGGATGGTGTTCTTGGGGTCATAGGCAGCATTCCTCCTCCTCCAAACACAGCGAGTTGAGTTGATGCCAAAGAGCTCCATTTTGGTCTCATCTGACCACAACACTTTCACCCAGTTCTCCTCTGAATCATTCAGATGTTCATTGGCAAACTTCAGACGGCCCTGTATATGTGCTTTCTTGAGCAGGGGGACCTTGCGGGCGCTGCAGGATTTCAGTCCTTCGCGGCGTAGTGTGTTACCAATTGTTTCCTTGGTGACTATTGTCCCAGCTGCCTTGAGATCATTGACAAGATCCTCCCGTGTAGTTCTGGGCTGATTCCTCACCGTTCTCATGATCATTGCAACTCCACGAGGTGAGATCTTGCATGGAGCCCCAGGCCGAGGGAGATTGACAGTTCTTTTGTGTTTCTTCATTTGCGAATAATTGCACCAACTATTGTCACCTTCTCACCAAGCTGCTTGGCGATGGTCTTGTAGCCCATTCCAGCCTTGTGTAGGTCTACAATCTTGTCCCTGACATCCTTGGAGAGCTCTTTGGTCTTGGCCATGGTGGTGAGTTTGGAATTGATTGATTGATTGCTTCTGTGGACAGGTGTCTTTTATACAGGTAACAAGCTGAGATTAGGAGCAATCCCTTTAAGATTGTGCTCCTAATCTCAACCAGAAATCTTTCTGATTGAGAGGGGGTCAAATACTTATTTCCCTCATTAAAATGCAAATCAATTTCTAACATTTTTGACATGCGTTTTTCTGGATTTTGTTGTTGTTATTCTGTCTCTCACTGTTCAAATAAACCTACCATTAACATTATAGACTGGTCATTTTTTTTGTCAGTGGGCAAACTTACAAAATCAGCAGGGGATCAAATACATTTTTCCCTCACTGTACATGTAATCTGATTACCCATAAAACTGTGACTGTAATCGGTTACGTTACCAGCAAAAATATTGTAATCAGATTACAGATACTTTTGAAAAACTAGATGATTACTTCTTGGCTTACTTTTAAATTCAGAAAGGATGTTTGTGAAAAAATACATTATGACACCTTTCTGTTTTCTCAATGGCATTTAATTCCACATGTAAAAAAAAGGCGCAAGTTTAAGTTTGTTCCACCTCAGCGAGTCTGACCACAAGTCAGAGACCACTGATGATACACCAAATGATGACCACCAATCAGAGACCACTATGATGACACACCAAATGATGACCACCAATCAGAGACCACTATGATGACACACCAAATGATGACCACCAATCAGAGACCACTATGATGACACACAAAATGCATTTGATGGATCCTTTTAGTCTTCTTCTAATGCCTCTTAAGGGGAAAGTAATCAAAAAGTAATCCGATTACGTTACTGAGTTTGGGTAATCCAAAATTACGTTACTGCTTACAATTTTGGACAGGTAACTAGTAACTGTAACAGATTACTTTTTGAAAGTAACCTACTCAACCCTGATGATGACTAACATAATCATCAGGTCGCAGTTGTAAATGAGAACTTGTTCTCAACTGGCTTACCTGGTTAAATAAAGGTGAAATAAATAAAATAAAATAAAGGGATTGGCTCGTCAACACCGTGACCTCTTGGCCCCAGCCAGAGTAGAGCAGGGCAGTATGTTGTGTTTCAGTTCACCAACACAACACACTGCATCTGTAACATATCCCAGTCAGCTACAGAGCCACTGTTCACGTCAGACTGTAGAGACACAGGCTATGTTACAGTAGCATACATGGAAAGAAGGCATACCCAAACGCGCTTCAGCCCAGTTTAAATGAAAAAGGGGAAATCAGGTGCTTGACTGAGGGACTTGAAAATCCAAAAAACATTCCTTACCCCAGGATACTTCAACTGTTGACTATCCGGGAGAATAAAGAAAAAGGAGCACTCTGATTTCAAAATCAGATTGATTGACAGGACAAGTAAACAATCGGCTTACGTTTCGGCATGAATCGTCTTCATCAGAGCCTTTTTCCTTTTTCTGCTGGATAGTCACCAGTTGAAGTTTCCTGGGGTAAGGAATGTTTTTTGGACAGAAGCATATCACTTAGAATGCCCAAAAAACTGTTTAATTCTACAGTAAGTGCTATGCTAGTAAGGAAATTGGAACAGAGGCTCAGATATGAGTGTGGTACATACAGGCAGCCTGGGGCTGAGGCAGACAGACAGTGGTAGATTAACTAGAAACCAAACCCCCGGGGGGCAGAGCAGAGAGAGGAGATTGCATTCCTCCATCTCCAAGTCCCCTCAGGTTCACTATATACCTCCCCTGATACTGACCCAACACAGGAAGGGAGGAGAGCGAGAGAGAGACAGAGATTGAGTAGAAAACCCACCCTGTACAGCACCAAGATACATAACCATAACTCAAACCCACTGTCATAACCATATCCATTCCTTTCACTGACAATACTATTACCATGATACACAGAGGATATAGATGTCTTCCTCTCTCTCAATCTCATTTTCTCTCTCTCGCTCTCTGTGACACTTTCTCTTCCTCTCCCTCTTTAATAAAGAAATTGTTCTCTATCTTTGCTCTGACTGCAGCCTTCCCATCTTCTCTACCTCTTTCTCTTTTCACATGTTCACTCCATCTATATTTGTCTCTCTTTCCTAATATAGAGGTGGGAATGAGTACCCTGAGAAGCTAATGATTTGAATGCTCTGCTTCTTAAGGTGTCAGACGAGGCACGGAGAGGCAGAATGGATGGATTCATCAAGTTTATAAAGCGCTGTCTCTGTGCTCTGCTCTCACAATGGGGACTGGTAGAAGGAAATCATCACCCATCTCTCTCTGAAAGTGTTGAATTAGTGATGGGAAGGAAAAGAGCGATGGAGGGCAGAATACAGTATGTCATAAAAGCGCTCCTCAGAGTATTGCAAGTAACAGCCTTGAGGCCCTTCCGTCCTCACTGACTGCTCTGCTCTGAATCAAATTTCCTGTCAGTTCTTAAGCTTTATGGGAGAAATTATACAGTAGAAGTATTACAGAGAGAAACTGAAATGATATCATAAGGTTATTATAGTACTACAGGGGTTTCCAACAGGGGCAGTGTGTGCATGTATGTATATTGGAGTTTGTGTGCGTTCTTGTGTCCCTGCCTACCTGCATGTGTGCATGCCTGTCGTGTGTGTGTGGCGATTTTTTAAAATCAAGGTAGTGAATTAGGATTTGGATAATGGTCAGGTTCTCGCCGTTCCAAGGCTGTGTATGTGTGCATGCATCTCTTTGTCCCCGCTCCAAGGCACAGAAGGTCGTGGTGTGATGAATGTGTCTCAACACACACACAACCCCCGCTAAACACTTCTTTTTTCCTGTTACCCAGGGACCCTGGCCGAGGCAAAACCACCATAAAGACCCTGAATAAAGAGAGAGCCATAGAGACCAAATGGGACCAGTTTGTGTCTCTGCCAAAGGTCTTCTTAGTCTATTCTTTGAACTCTCTATCCACCTCTTGAGTTGCATTCTGGGGTTGTGTCCTTAAAAGGGTTGTCACTTAAAGTCGGATTACCTGCTTCAGAGGAGGCAAAACCAGCTGTACAACACACACACACACATAGACACTCGTCGCACACACACGCACACACACACACACATCGCCCACACACACATACCAGGCCCACACACATCCAAACACACACACACACACAAACACACACACTCTCCCGCTCCCTCTCTCTCACACACACATACACACCACTCCCAGCCAGAAACATACACACCCCTTGGGGATGCTTGTCTGTGTGTGTCTGTGGCAGAAGAGGACATTAGGAGAGCTGAGAGCTGCTGCAGCTGAAGTGTTGTGCTCCTCTCCTCTCCTGCTCTCACACACACACACACACACACACACACTGACAGACAGGCTGAAGAGAGGGAAAGGAGATACGTGACTGGCTCCTCCACAAATCTTCATACTGTATGTCCTCCTCAGCCAAGGAGGGATGTGTTTGTGTGTGTGTCTGCTTACCTGTCTTCCTATTGGTATTTGTGCCTGCCTGCCTGTCTGCCTGTCTGTCTGTCTGTCTGTCTGTCTGTCTGTCTGTCTGTCTGTCTGTCTGTCTGTCTGTCTGTCTGTCTGTCTGTCTGTCTGTCTGCCTGTCTGTCTGTCTGTGTGTGTACGTGAGTCTCTGTATGCCTGTGCATATGCAAGGCTCTAGGTGCGCTTTTATGGAAATCTATGCGTGGAAATCCCCTTTGACACCTCTCTTCTTCTTCTCGTCCTCCTCTACTTCTGTCTCGCCTTCTCACCTCATCTCCCAGCCACGTAGAACAGGCTCCAGGCCCTCCCGCTCCTCCTCTGGTCGTCTGTACCTGTTGAAGGGGTCCTCCCTGAGCGTAGCCTTGTCCTCAGCCCTCACCACCCCTACCCTGCTGGGCAGCCTGTCCTCCCTGGGCCCTGGGACCGAAGACACTGGAGCTATAGTGACTGCCGCTGGAACCAGCCAGGATAGTACGGAGCAACCAGGAGCAGGAGGGGACTCCGAGACAGAGCTGCCCATGTCAGAGTGTAAGTAAATAGAGTCGTGTATGGAATATTCAGAGGGTTCTCTGTGGTAAAAATGGGTGCAATATGGTGAAACCTGAGGGGTAGTGTGAGGGTTGTGTCTGTGTGCAGGGTTCAATTGGGTTGTTTTGTGTAGCAAACACCTCCTCATCTTTCTCTGTGTGTTATATTCTGGCTCCTCTTTGGAGCTCTCTGTCAGCTCACTTTGTGTGTGTGTGTGTGTGTGTGTGTGTGTGTGTGTGTGTGTGTGAGAGCAGAGGAGGTGATGTGTGTGCCGGGGGCCCGCTCGCTACTCCATGTCATCTGGTTCCGGGTTTTTGGAGCGCAGAATGAGTCCTATCTGTTTCCTATCAGCCCTGTCACTGCAGGAACATCTGCAGCGTGCGCACGGAACCCAAAGACACACACACACATCTACGCACGAAACCCAAACACCCGGATCTGGTTGTCATAGGAACAGCTCTTCCTTCTGACGTGATTGTGATATGACACACACCCTGGGATGTTTTCCTCATACAACACAAAAGTCACTTCTGACTCTTACACTGCATCTGATATGGCAACCTATTCCTTATATAGGGCACATTGGGCTTTTGTCAAAAGTAGTGTGCTATGTAAGGAATAGTGTGCCATTTCAGATGCAGTATAAGAGTCAGAAGTGAGAGAGAGAAAGCCTCTCCAGATTTGTCTGTATGGCGCACGCCGGGGGGGGGGGGGGGGGGGGGGGCACTCGCTCTCAGAGCTTTGCTTTGATTCCTTTGGTTTGATTTCATCCCCTGCTGTTCCAGTAATGAAGCCCAACACAACACTGCTGCTTTCTACCCTGGCCACTGTAGTCGGGTCACTAAAGGGCCGCTAGCTGGACGGCTAGCTAAAGCCTCCCTCACTACCCTCCGGTTCTGGCTTCCCAGAGTGCTTTGCATCAAAGCTGGAGGATAATTAGTCAACTGATCTATCGGAGAGAGATCAGAGCCTTCGTTATGCTATCACATTCTGACGAAAGACTAGCTTTGTTTGCCCGAGTCATCGTCAGTTCGTTGTCGAATCTCCCCCCCTTCCTCCTCCTCCTCATAGGTTAAAGCAATTAACTGCTCTTCTCCATAATCCTCAGAGTTATGCCTCAAATCCAGAAATTGGGCACCAGAGATATTCAGCTGAGCTTACCTCCGCCCGCCCCAAGGCACATTTTTGCCTGAAGAATAAAATAATCAAATAAGAATGCGTCCCAAATAGCACCCTCTTCAGCCTCCAACCTCCCACACAATATACCTATCCTTTTCAGTCCTGTATATCAGTGGTCGTGTCCCAAATGACACCCTATTACCTATATAGTGCACTACTTGTAAACAGGGCCCATATGGCTCTGATCAAAAGTAGTGCACTATATAGGTGATAGGGTGCTATTTGGGATGTAGCATGAGGGTGAAGGGAGGGACTTTCTTTGCTTTAATTTTAAAAACTCTTTGATGAAAAAGGAATCAACATTTGGGCACTCATTATTTTCATATTTTCATAAAAGCTAATACATTCATAAATGGAGCTAATTATAAAATTGTATTAAATCTAAAGCCGGAACAATTGGTTAGAATTATTGGCTATTATCATTTTGGCAGGGTGTTTTATGGTGGGCTTTTCCTATGATGAATCTAGCATTATATTTTAATAAGTATCTCCACAGATTTGTTTCAATAAGTGATTAATTTTGTCACACATAAAATAAGTTGGATACTTGTAGTTGGTGTATTTTAATATTTTGATTAATGTATCCCATTCTATTCGAGTGCTTTATGAAGATTTAGTGCAATGTCATTTTATGTGTGTCACTTATGATATATTCCACCATAGTGTGTTTCAAAGAGATCTTGTACTGTAGCCGACCATCTGTTCATCTGAACTGACTTTGAATTCATTACTGTATCTGAACAGCAGAGGGAGCTAGGGGACCATTCTTGTCTCAGAATTCTACTCTCCTCACATTTACATTTTAGTCATTTAGTAGATGCTCTTATCCAGAGCGACTTACAGTGGTGTGTGCATACATTTTCATACTGGTCCCCTGTGGGAATCGAACCCACAACCCTGCTATTGCAAGTGCCATCCTCTACCAAGTCCTTCTGGCAATTACTCTGAGCTGAGGGACACTGTGGATGAAAACTTGATTTTCTCATTAAATAGCCTACTATTCTACTTGATGATTTTGTTTCTTTGTTGAATCGTCTCTTAAAAATAAAGATAACCCTTTATAGGTTTTAGCAGTGACACCTCGGAGACGTGAGTCCTATAGGCTACAGAGAGACCAGACAGATAAGCTAACGAAAAAGTCGTCATTAAAAATGTTGTCATTAATGTTTACTGCCTCTCTGTCCAGACCTTAAGAAGCTGCTGGATGCAGTCCACCAGAGTGTCACCAAAGACTTCAGTGGTCCGGAGCAGAATCACGGCGACGGCACTTTGACTGACGGATACCGGTAACCTCCCCTTGGCCTAGTCAAATAGCCCCCTGGGCCACATTCCACTCCCCATCCTGGTCACACTACTCTTCTACATTTACTCTTTCCGCTTTCATCCCTTACTCTCCTGTTCCTCTCTTTTCTTTTACTCAGCAATAGATTAAAGGGTACCTAGACAAGTCATCTCTGGAATTAACACGTTCATAAATGGCTGTGTATGTAGAGGCTGTTGGAATTGAGCAAGTGGATGATTACATCATGTTGACTGAGTAAAGTAAAGGCATTATCATGTCATGACGACCCAAGGGTGACCAGGTTAGCAATTAAACATTTGCATTTCCACACAGACTTAAACCCCATGTTAACTCCAGGCCCCAGGGTGAGAGGGTGATCTACTATGCAAACGCCCTAACTAACTATACACTCTAACTAAATACTAACGGATTTGTTCCTTCACACAACAGGCCACCTACCCAACCCACCCCTCAGAGAGCGGACAACACAACACGCTCCAAGACCAAAGACACACCAAGACCCAAAAGGTTGGCCTGCTAGACCGAAACTCAAACTACTACTACTTTTTCTACCGTTCTGTTTCAAATGTTATGGTTGTTTTGGGAACCTTTCCAAGTTGAAAGTTGAGGCACTTTGCACCAGAAATGTTGCCTACACTATTTTACTATACTGCATTACATTGAGTATCATATTGCATTGAGTGTAACTGCGTTGTATTGAAAAAAGCCTTGTCTCTGTCTCTGTGTGTAGTTGCCCTGCTAAGCCACTGTCTATCTAGCTCTGGCCACAACAACTCAATCAGTCAATCAATCTATCAATCATTTTATTGTGTAAATAAAGTTGCCCTGCTAAGCCTGCATTGTGTGTAATTACTGTATATTGTATTGCAAAGTAATTATCTCTGTCTGTCTGTCTGTCTGTATAGTTGTCCTGCCAAGCCTCTGTCAGCCACCAGTGAGTTGATCAGCAGTAAGAGGTCGATGCTGTGGGATATAAGGACAGCCTATGAGGAGAGAGCAGAGGAGCTGGCCCAGAACTTCAGTGACAGTCTGGACCACAATGCCAGGTGACCGTCCCCTCTCTGACGATCTAGTTCTGGTCACAAACTCACCTCCACAATCTGACTCTAGTCCTTTTTCTTCCGAGAGAGAGGCCTGCCTGTGTTGTCCTCAAAGCCATGTTTGTTCAATGACCAATTAATCTCTAGTGCTGGTCTGTTTTTAGTCTCAAAAGCATTGACCCCGACGTGATTTGAACACGCAACCTTCTGATCTGGAGTCAGACGCGCTACCGTTGCGCCACGAAGTCTGGTGGTATGCTAACTGAGCAATCCAGCCTCTGGAAGTGTTGGTCCTCAACAGGTGTTCAGTTTCTCACGACAATATAGGCCTGTTGAAATATGCCTTGTCAATTTCATTCTGATTTCATTCCCAGCCGAAAGATATCAAACGGTACCCACGGGGTCACATGACAAGGGATGCGGTTCCAGGCCCTGTGTCATGTGACCCATTCTCACCTCATCCCTCGTCATGTGACCCTGTGGGTAACCGGAGTGAAACCCCCAGAGACAGACTGCAGCAACAACAACATGTGGTACGACATCTGCAACACCCATCACATGGATTTGAATGTGTGTGATCCCTCTGTCCACGCCACTGTGTTTTCACACATAAAACTATTGACCCCGACGTGATTTGAACACGCAACCTTCTGATCTGGAGTCAGACGCGCTACCGTTGCGCCACGAAGTCCTGTGACTAACAAGTGCATCTGAGGCCATTTCATAGAATGCACTTCCTTATCTTTCCCCTGGGAAGTCAAATAGAGGCCAGGGACATCACTAGAGCTTTTGGGGCTTTAGCCCCGAATGATTTCGGGTCAGCACTGAATCGTTTGTGCTGCTGCGATAGTGTATTTTTGGCGTATTACATTATTTTATAATAATGTATTATTTTTGGGGTTTGCTCAATCTGATTGGGTGGGCCTGGCAGGGCCTGGCTCCCCAGTGGGTGGGCCTGTGTCCACTCAGGCCCACCCATGCCTACGCCCCTGGGACAGCGCCATTGCACTGCTTTGAGACAAGCATGGCGACTAGGGTGACCACATGTACCAGATTGTGCGGGACACTTCCCGCACCCATCAATCATGTCCTGCATTTTATCAACAAATTCAAACACCACTAATTTTGGGGAAAAAAGGTTGATTTGGCCCATATTTCAGTCAGACATTCCAACCTGTCTCTTGTCTCTTGCAGTCACACTTATGAATATATATAAATATCATAAGGATGTGTTAGCCTAGCATGATGACTATACCAGGCACGCGGGTGCGTCCGCGTGCGCCATTGGGCGCATGTTGATTTGGTACATCACCACAAGACGCAATCCAGACACGCAGGTTGAAATATCAAAACAAACACTGAACCAACTATATTAATTTGGGACATGTCGAAACACATGAAACATCCATGGACATTTAGCTAGCTAGCTTCCTGTTGCTAGCTAATTTGTCCTGGGATATAAACATTGGGTTGTTATTTTACCTGGAATGCACAAGGTCCTTTTTTTCTGGATCTTTGTAGAATTTTGACCCATTTTGAGTCACACAAAATCGTGTGTTCTCTACTCCGACAATTAATCCACAGGTAAAAGGGAAAATGTAGTTAGTTTCTAGTAATCTCTCCTCCTTCAGTAGTCTTAGTCTTCTTCTTCTTCCTCTTCCTCTTCCTCTTCCTCTGCCTCTTCTTCTTCTGTGGACGTTAAATGTTGGTTGGCAACCAACTTTAAGGTGCATTACCACCGCCAACTGGACTGGAGTGTGGACCTCAGTTTATTTTGCAACGCTTGTGCACGCAACCCGAGCGGTGTGGTCAGCATACTGGTGAAGCCCACTTCTCCAATCATTGTTGAGATCTGATATTCTGCGCAGCCGCAAGTCAAAAGTAATGTCACTGGCCTATCTTCAACCAATCATATTTCTCAAACCCTTTCGGGCTAAAATCCAGCTAAACTTGGAGAGGACAGTTAGGCCTAATTACTTTTAAAAAGTCGTGCTTCTGATGAAGAGCTATAAATATAAGTAAATAACCGTATTAAGTATTTTGTGGTCTCTTGTTTCAGCATCACCAAATTTTGCTCAGGCAAAATAGTAGGCTAGGTGCGCCTCAATTGCTTATTCGCGTTTCACCATGGCGCTTGTTTAGTAAAGTTTAGATCAAAGCTGAATCAATGTCTTGGAAGAGCACATAATGATGAATTAGTATTCTACATCAGTGGGGTGTGAGGGGTTGGTCCAGCTTTCGGCTTACTCTTGAAAGATAGAATGCATAAGGTGAAATTTCGAAATTGGGTAGTGCATCAGTTTTCCTCTTGTCATTTCAGTCATTGCATACCTTAGAGAGCTATTTATAACTTGTCAGAAATGTCCAGATCAACTTGCCCATGTCAGCTAACGTTTTTTAGCTCGGCTTTTTAGCCCATAGATTTTGTTGTAATGTTTGAGTCACTCAAATATCACATGGGGGAAGATGTTCCCCAATGCTGGAAGGGGGTCCTGAGTGAAAAAGTTTGGGAACACTTGTTCTACATAACATAACCAATAGCATAGGATAACGTTACTGTTACAACAACAAAAAACACCTAATTTCTTATGAGATTTTAGGATGGTTAGCTGAATAGTTAAACTAAAAAGATCATGTGGACAAAACTCAACACGCCCGGCCCTAGGCAGAATTTGCATTGATTTAAACAAAATACAGGCAAAAAAATTATAATTGCCATGCTGAAGACATCTATATCGGTCCGCTAATACAGGACTAGTTAAGTGACTAGTTAAGGCCCAGGGCACTACTTTTGTGATAATGTTTAACTAAATGTATTTGAGTGTTTACCAGCATTTGTAACTTGAGTCTGATAATTATCTGATAATACTTGTGGAAGATAAAAATGTTTGCTTGATAAATGTTTTCCAGTTTCTTGAAATACTTTGCAAATGCAACTTATTTCTATGTGAAAACTAAAATGGTCTATTCATTCCTTTTTAGTAGACGCTCTTATCCAGAGCAACTTACAGTAGTGAGTGCATACATTTTTGTACTGGTCCCCCGTGGGAATCGTACCCACAACCCTAGCCTTGCAAGCGCCATGCTTTACCAACTGAGCCACATCATACACTCCTTGATGAAACGTATTGGGACACCTGCTCGTCGAACATCTCATTCCAAAATCATGGGCACTAAAATGGAGTTGGTCCCCCCTTTGCTGCTATAACAGCCTCCACTCTTCTGGGAAAGCTTTCCACTAGATGTTGGAACATAGCTGCGGCGACTTGCTTCCATTCAGCCACAAGACCATTAGTGAGGTCGGACACTGATGTTGGGCGATTAGGCCTGGCTCGCAGTCGGCGTTCCAATTCATCCCAAAGGTGTTCGATGGGGTTGAGGTCAGGGCTCTGTACAGGCCAGTCAAATTCTTTCACACGATCTCGACAAACAATTTCAGTATGGACCTCGCTTTACATTTACATTTTAGTCATTTAGCAGACGCTCTTATCCAGAGCGACTTACAGGAGCAATTAGGGTTAAGTGCCTTGCTCAAGGGCACATTTACGTCATTTAGCAGACGCTCTTATCCAGAGCGACTACAAATTGGTGCATTCACCCTATAGCCAGTGGGATAACCACTTTACAATTATACTTTTTTTTTTTTTTTTTTTTTTTTTTTGGGGGGGGGGGGGGGAGGGGTAGAAGGATTACTTTATCCTATCCCAGGTGTTCCTTAAAGAGGTGGGGTTTCAAATGTCTCCGGAAGGTGGTGAGTGACTCCGCTGTCCTGGCGTCGTGAGGGAGCTTGTTTTGACTGGGCTGAGCGGGAACTATGCTTCCGCAGAGGAAGGGGAGCCAGCAGGCCAGAGGTGGATGAACCCAATGCCCTCGTTTGGGTGTAGGGACTGATCAGAGCCTGAAGGTACGGAGGTGCCGTTCCCCTCACTGCTCCATAGGCAAGCACCATGGTCTTGTAACGGATGCGAGCTTCAACTGGAAGCCAGTGGAGTGTGCGGAGGAGGGGGGTGACGTGAGAGAACTTGGGAAGGTTGAACACCAGACGGGCTGCGGCATTCTGGATGAGTTGTAGGGGTTTAATGGCACAGGCAGGGAGCCCAGCCAACAGCGAGTTGCAGTAATCCAGACGGGAGATGACAAGTGCCTGGATTAGGACCTGTGCCGCTTCCTGTGTAAGGCAGGGTCGTACTCTCCGAATGTTGTAGAGCATGAACCTGCAGGATCGGGTCACCGCCTTGATGTTAGCGGAGAACGACAGGGTGTTGTCCAGGGTCACGCCAAGGCTCTTCGCACTCTGGGAGGAGGACACAACGGAGTTGTCAACCGTGATGGCGAGATCATGGAACGGGCAGTCCTTCCCCGGGAGGAAGAGCAGCTCCGTCTTGCCAGGGTTCAGCTTGAGGTGGTGATCCGTCATCCATACTGATATGTCGGCCAGACATGCAGAGATGCGATTCGCCACCTGGTTATCAGAAGGGGGAAAGGAGAAGATTAGTTGTGTATCGTCAGCGTAGCAATGATAGGAGAGGCCATGTGAGGATATGACAGAGCCAAGTGACTTGGTGTATAGGGAGAAAAGGAGAGGGCCTAGAACTGAGCCCTGGGGGACACCAGTGGTGAGAGCACGTGGTGCGGAGACAGCTTCTCGCCACGCCACTTGGTAGGAGCGACCGGTCAGGTAGGACGCAATCCAGGAGTGAGCCGCGCCGGAGATGCCCAGCTCGGAGAGGGTGGAGAGGAGGATCTGATGGTTCACTGTATCAAAGGCAGCAGACAGGTCTAGAAGTACAAGAGCAGAGGAGAGAGAGTTAGCTTTAGCAGTGCAGAGAGCCTCCGTGACACAGAGAAGAGCAGTCTCAGTTGAATGACCAGTCCTGAAACCTGACTGGTTTGGATCAAGAAGGTCATTCTGAGAGAGATAGCAAGAGAGTTGGCTAAAGACGGCACGCTCAATAGTTTTGGAAAGAAAAGAAAGAAGGGATACTGGTCTGTAGTTGTTGACATCAGTGGGATCGAGTGTTGGTTTTTTGAGAAGGGGTGCAACTCTCGCTCTCTTGAAGACGGAAGGGACATGGCCAGCGGTCAAGGATGAGTTGATCAGCGAGGTGAGGTAGGGGAGAAGGTCACCGGAGATGGTCTGGAGAAGAGAGGAGGGGATGGGGTCAAGCGGGCAGGTTGTTGGGCGGCCTTCAGTCACTAGTCGCAAGATTTTATCTGGAGAGAGAGGGGAGAAAGAAGTCAAAGCATAGGGTAGGGCAGTGTGAGCAGGACCAGCAGTGTCATTAGACTTAACAAACGAGGATCGGATGTCGTCAACCTTCTTTTCAAAGTGGTTGACGAAGTCATCCACAGAGAGGGAGGAGGGGGGGGGGGGGGGGGGGGGGGGGAGGATTCAGCAGTGAGGAGAATGTGGCAAAGAGCTTCCTAGGGTTAGAGGCAGATGCTTGGAATTTAGAGTGGTAGAAAGTGGCCTTAGCAGCAGAAACAGATGAAGAAAATGTAGAGAGGAGGGAGTGAAAAGATGCCAGGTCGGCAGGGAGTTTAGTTTTCTTCCATTTCTGCTCAGCTGCCCGGAGCTCTGTTCTGTGAGCTCGCAATGAGTCATCAAGCCACGGAGCTGGAGGGGAGGACCGAGCCGGCCGGGAGGATAGGGGACACAGGGAGTCAAAGGATGCAGAAAGGGAGGAGAGGAGGGTTGAGGAGGCAGAATCAGGAGATTGGAGGGAGAAGGATTGAGCAGAGGGAAGAGATGATAGGATGGAAGAGGAGAGAGTAGTGGGAGAGAGAGAGCGAAGGTTGCGGCGGCGCGTTACCATCTGTGTAGGGGCAGAGTGAGTAGTGTTGGAGGAGAGCGAGAGAGAAAAGGATACAAAGTAGTGGTCGGAGACATGGAGGGGAGTTGCAGTGAGATTAGTAGAAGAGCAACATCTAGTAAAGATGAAGTCAAGCGTATTGCCTGCCTTGTGAGTGGGGGGGGATGGTGAGAGGGTGAGGTCAAAAGAGGAGAGGAGTGGAAAGAAGGAGGCAGAGAGAAATGAGTCAAATGTAGACGTAGGGAGGTTGAAATCCCCCAAAACTGTGAAGGGTGAGCCATCCTCAGGAAAGGAACTTATCAAGGCGTCAAGCTCATTGATGAACTCTCCAAGGGAACCTGGAGGGCGATAGATGACAAGGATATTAAGCTTAAATGGGCTAGTGACTGTGACAGCATGGAATTCAAATGAGGAGATAGACAGATGGGTTAGGGGAAAAATTGAGAATGACCACTTGGGAGAGATGAGGATTCCTGTGCCACCACCCCTCTGACCAGATGCTCTCGGGGTATGCGAGAACACATGGTCAGACGAGGAGAGAGCAGTAGGATTAGCAGTGTTTTCAGTGGTAATCCATGTTTCCGTCAGCGCCAGGAAGTCGAGGGACTGGAGGGTAGCATAGGCTGGGATGAAGTCAGCCTTGTTGGCGGCAGAACGGCAGTTCCAGAGGCTGCCTGAGACCTGGAACTCCAGGTGTGTGGTGCGTGCAGGGACCACCAGGTTAGAGAGGCAGCAGCCACGCGGTGTGAGGCGTTTGTGTAGCCTGTGCGGAGAGGAGAGAACAGGGATAGGCAGAGGCATAGTTGACAGGCTGCAGCAGATGGCTACAATAATGCAGAGGAGATCGGAATGAAATGAACTAAACATCTGGGAAAGGAGAGAGCAGGCCTCCCTCACCAAAAAAATTATAATATAACTCTCCCAACTTCCACCTCAGAAACTATAATTGTTTCACTGAACCACCCGAATAAAACTCTCCCAACTTCCACTTTAGAAATTAGAATTGTTGTAAACTACAGCAGACTGTTATCAGTAGCTGTAATTAAGTACAGCAGCTACCAACCACCTAACGTTAATGCCTCGGATGAGGTTAGAAAAACAGCTGAATGGTAGCAGCTAGCTGGCTCAATCACAGGTACTCTTAAGCATGAAATAACATTGGAAACAACTAACCACAGTTGCTAAAAGTTACCAGTAGCTACCCGCTAGCTAGCTAGCTAGCTTTGTTGGTCCAAGTAGTGGGTAAGCTAGCCTCGTGCTTCGCCGGGGTCCGCCGAATACAATACTTACCTACAATACTTACCTACAATAACCTTCAATAACTACCTGAGTAAGCTACCTATAATACCAAACTACAATACCTACCTACAATCTAAATACATGGTTTAAGCTTAACTCAACACCATATAAGAAGCCAAGCTTACCTTTCATAACGCAGCAATGATTAAACGTTGGGTAGCTAGCACAAAGATATTGTATTTAGCTACTACAGTACAGCCAGCTGGTAGTGTTGGCTAGCTAGCAATGGCTGCTGTGTTGACTTTGTTTGAAAAACAACGTCGCTGCAAACGAATGTAGCTGGCTAAAAGGATATTGTTTTTAGTTGCTACCGTTGCTAATAGCTACTCGCCAGCTAATCCAGTCACCCACATAGGTGATTTGAGTGCGCTAGATCCAGGTGAGTACGCTCCCTCGAATTTCTTCACATTGACATTCCTTTACCCGCACCCAGTGGGTAATCCAGGAGGCTTTGTCATGCTGAAACAGGAAAGGGCCTTCCCCAAACTGTTGCTACAAAGTTGGAAGCACAGAATCGTCTATAATGTCATTGTCTGCTTTAGCGTTAAGATTTCCCTTCACTGGAACTAAGGGGCCTAGACCGAACCATGAAAAACAGCCCCAGACCATTATTCCTCCTCCACCAAAATGTACAGTTGGCACTATGCATTGGGGCAGGTAGAGTTCTCCTGGCATCCACCAAACACAGATTAATCCGTTGGACTGCCAGATGGTGAAGCGTGATTCATCACTCCAGAGAACGCGTTTCCACTGCTCCAGAGTCCAATGGCGGCGAGCTTTACACCACTCCAGCCAACGCTTGGCATTGCGCATGGTGATATTAGGCTTGTGTGCGGCTGCTCGGCCATGGAAACCCATTTCATGGAGCTCCAGATGAACAGTTCTTGTGCTGTTGTTGCTTCCAGAGGCAGTTTTGAACTCCATTTTTACGCTCTTCAGCACTCGGCAGTCCCGTTCTGAGCAGTTGTTGCTCCTAGACGTTTCCACTTCACAGTAACAGCACTTACAGCTCTGGCAGAGCAGAAATTTGATGAACTGACTTGTTGGAAAGGTGGCATCCTCTGACAGTGCCATGTTGAAAGTCACTGAGCTCTTCAGTACGTGCCATTCTACTGCCAATGTTTGTCTATGGGGATTGCATGGCTGTGTGCTCGATTTTATACACATGTCAGCAATGGGTGTGGTTGAAATTGAAGGCGTGTCCACATACTTTTGTCCGTGTAGTGTATCATCACAAACCACTTGATGTCTCAATATACTCAATTACTGTATTGTGCATGTTTTTCTTCATGGTGATGGAAAGTCAACAGGTACAAACCTTGATGACCAGCCTATGGCGCACCAGTAGTGCGTCGGACTCCAGATCAGAAGGTTGCACATTCAAATCATGTCAGGGTCAATGTTTTTGAGCATGAAGGAAAACTGGGCCTGCTCCGACCAGCACCGGTCCCATGTGGCTCAGTTGGTAGAGCATGGCACTTGGAACGCCAGGGTTGTGGGTTTGAGTCCCACGGGGGACCAGGACAAATGAAAACGTGTGCCCTCACTACTGTGAGTTGCTGTGGATAAGAGCATCTGCTAAATGACTAAAATGAGATGAGTTGGTCTCTGAACAAACATGCCATGAAGTCATAGGTAACTAACCAAGCGGGTATGTGACAACTTCATTGAATGTGCCCCCATATCTTTCTCCTGGGAAAGAAGCAGACAACATTTCAACGTTAGTTTGTCCCAGGTCAGGACCTTTGACTTGAAGCACTGTATCACTTCTCTTTGTACGTTAACTCGCAGCTGACTTGTGAGTACTTTCTTGCAGTGCTCCTCGATATTGATTTGTTTCACATGAAGAGTGAAGACTTCTATCCACCACTAGTATAGATATTGAGGTCTGCTGCTTGCATAACCATCCTGTTTGTGCTGGATAATAGGTGAAGACAAAAGAGCAGTCATTGGTAAAGTCAATCAGAAATCTATCCGGTTCATTACAAGTTGCAACAGGGAGACAGCACCCAGCACAGAAGCAGAGAAAATGTTTAACTGGTCTTCTCTGGGCAGGCCCTTATCCTAAACATTCAGCATAAATTCTAGTGACCATCAACCCGCACCTTGAGTGTCCCAAAAATCACACTGGAAATGATGTTTTTTACAGAAACTCCAAGTACTGTATGCTAAACATTGTGTTGGATCATTCTAAACTAAATATAAACTTTACTCATTTTAAATGTTTATCTAATTCTGTGGTAAATGTCAGAGGATCAGGTATCTCTCCTGTATGCATCTGACTCTCTTTCTCTGCTCTCACTGTGCCCACCCCCTCTCTCCACCCTGTACAACTACTCTCTGATCTCTTCCTACTCCCTCTCCTCTTCTCTCTGTACAGGAAGAGGCTGGACAGTGGCATCCAGCGGTTCCAGGCCCTGTGTCATGTGACCCATTCTCACCTCATCCCTCGTCATGTGACCCCGTGGGTAACCGGAGTGAAACCCCCAGAGACAGACTGCAGCAACAACAACATGTGGTACGACATCTGCAATACCCATCACATGGATTGGAATGTGTGTCTGTTTCCTCATCTGTGTGTGATCCCTCTGTCCACGCCTCTGTGTTTCCCACATAAAACTATTGACCCCGACGTGATTTGAACACGCAACCTTCTGATCTGGAGTCAGACGCGCTACCGTTGCGCCACGAAGTCCTGTGACTAACAAGTGCGTCTGAGGCCATTTCATAGAATGCACTTCCTTATCTTTCCCCTGGGAAGTCAAATAGAGGCCAGGGACAACACTAGAGCTTTTGGGGCTTTAGCCCCGAATGATTTTGGGTCAGCACTGAATCGTTTGTGCTGCTGCGATAGTGTATTTTTGGCGTATTACATTATTTTATAATAATGTATTATTTTTGGGGTTTGCTCAATCTGATTGGGTGGGCCTGGCAGGGCCTGGCTCCCCAGTGGGTGGGCCTGTGTCCACTCAGGCCCACCCATGCCTACGCCCCTGGGACAGCGCCATTGCACTGCTTTGAGACAAGCATGGCGACTAGGGTGACCACATGTACCAGATTGTGCGGGACACTTCCCGCACCCATCAATCATGTCCTGCATTTTATCAAGAAATTCAAACACCACTAATTTTGGGGAAAAAAGGTTGATTTGGCCCATATTTCAGTCAGACATTCCGACCTGTCTCTTGTCTCTTGCAGTCACGCTTATGAATATATATAAATATCATAAGGATGTATTAGCCTAGCATGATGACTATACCAGGCACGCATGTGCGTCCGCGTGCGCCATTGGGCGCATGTTGATTTGGTACATCACCACAAGACGCAATCCAGACACGCAGGTTGAAATATCAAAACAAACACTGAACCAACTATATTAATTTGGGACAGGTCGAAACACATGAAACATCCATGGACATTTAGCTAGCTAGCTTCCTGTTGCTAGCTAATTTGTCCTGGGATATAAACATTGGGTTGTTATTTTACCTGGAATGCACAAGGTCCTTTTTTTCTGGATCTTTGTAGAATTTTGACCCTTTTTGAGTCACACAAAATCGTGTGTTCTCTACTCCGACAATTAATCCACAGATAAAAGGGAAAATGTAGTTAGTTTCTAGTAATCTCTCCTCCTTCAGTAATCTTAGTCTTCTTCCTCTTCCTCTTCCTCTTCTTCTTCTGTGGACGTTAAATGTTGGTTGGCAACCAACTTTAAGGTGCATTACCACCGCCAACTGGACTGGAGTGTGGACCTCAGTTTATTTTGCAACGCTTGTGCACGCAACCCGAGCGGTGTGGTCAGCATACTGGTGAAGCCCACTTCTCCAATCATTGTTGAGATCTGATATTCTGCGCAGCCGCAAGTCAAAAGTAATGTCATTGGCCTATCTTCAACCAATCATATTTCTCAAACCCTTTCGGGCAAAAATCCAGCTAAACTTGGAGAGGACACTTAGGCCTAATTACTTTTAAAAAGTCGTGCTTCTGATGAAGAGCTATAAATATAAGTAAATAACCGTATTAAGTATTTTGTGGTCTCTTGTTTCAGCATCAATAACATAACCAATAGCATAGTATAACGTTACTGTTACAACAAAAACACCACCTCATTTCTTATGAGATTTTAGGATGGTTAGCTGAATAGTTAAACTAAAATGATCATGTGGACAAAACTCAACAGCGCCCGGCCCTAGGCATAATTTGCATTGATTTAAACAAAATACAGGCAAAAAAATAATAATTGCCATGCTGAAGACATCTATATCGGTCCGCTGATACGGGACTAGTTAAGTGACTAGTTAAGGCCCAGTGCACTACTTTTGTGATAATGTTTAACTAAATGTATTTGAGTGTTTACCAGCATTTGTAACTTGAGTCTGATAATTATCTGATAATACTTGGTATTATGGATAGATACAAATGTTTGCTTGATAAATGTTTTCCAGTTTCTTGAAATACTTTGCAAATGCAACTTATTTCTATGTGAAAACTAAAATGGTCTATTCATTCCTTTTTAGTAGACGCTCTTATCCAGAGCAACTTACAGTAGTGAGTGCATACATTTTTGTACTGGTCCCCCGTGGGAATCATACCCACAACCCTAGCCTTGCAAGCGCCATGCTCTACCAACTGAGCCACATCATACACTCCTTGATCAAAAGTATTGGGACACCTGCTCGTCGAACATCTCATTCCAAAATCATGGGCACTAAAATGGAGTTGGTCCCCCCTTTGCTGCTATAACAGCCCCCACTCTTCTGGGAAAGCTTTCCACTAGATGTTGGAACATAGCTGCGGCGACTTGCTTCCATTCAGCCACAAGACCATTAGTGAGGTCGGGCACTGATGTTGGGCGATTAGGCCTGGCTCACAGTCGGCGTTCCAATTCATCCCAAAGGTGTTCGATGGGGTTGAGGTCAGGGCTCTGTACAGGCCAGTCAAATTCTTTCACACCAATCTCGACAAACAATTTCTGTATGGACCTCGCTGTTGCTACAAAGTTGGAAGCCCAGAATCGTCTATCATGTAATTGTATGCTTTAGCGTTAAGATTTCCCTTCACTGGAATTAGGGGCCTAGACTGAACCATGAAAAACAGCCCCAGACCATTATTCCTCCTCCACCAAAATGTACAGTTTGCACTATGCATTGGGGCAGGTAGAGTTCTCCTGGCATCCACCAAACCGATTCATCCGTTGGACTGCCAGATGGTGAAGCGTGATTCATCACTCCAGAGAACGCGTTTCCACTGCTCCAGAGTCCAATGGCAGCGAGCTTTACACCACTCCAGCCAACGCTTGGCATTGTGCATGGTGATCTTAGGCTTGTGTGCGGCTGCTCGGCCATGGAAACCCATTTCATGAAGCTCCAGATGAACAGTTCTTGTGCTGTTGTTGCTTCCAGAGGCAGTTTTGAACTCAATTTTTACGCGCTTCAGCACTCGGCAGTCCCGTTCTGAGCGGTTGTTGCTCCTAGACGTTTCCACTTCACAGTAACAGCACTTACAGCTCTGGCAGAGCAGAAATTTGATGAACTGACTTGTTGGAAAGGTGGCATCCTCTGACAGTGCCACGTTGAAAGTCACTGAGCTCTTCAGTACGTGCCATTCTACTGCCAATGTTTGTCTATGGAGATTGCATGGCTGTGTGTTCGATTTTATGCACCTGTCAGCAACGGGTGTGGTTGAAATTGAAGGCGTGTCCACATACTTTTGTCCATGTAGTGTATCATCACAAACCACTTGATGTCTCAATATACTCAATTACTGTATTGTGCATGTTTTTCTTCATGGTGATGGAAAGTCAACAGGTACAAACCTTGATGACCAGCCTATGTACAATACAGTAATGTAAATTAAATGGTTTGTAAGTATGGTAAATTAATACTGCACAAAAAGTGGTTATTTTCCATGTTATTTGATCAAGAAAAATATTTAATTTGATGTGGAGGTTTTGTGTAAATGTTTGAGAACATGGTTTTGTTCTTTATGGATTCCATTACAATGACAATGTGACAGGGCAACAACTCTTACAATTCCAACTATTGAATCCTGCAAGATACCATTCTTAATTATACAACTACCTTTTTTGTCAAAACAGAGATGCTGAAAAAAATGCTTTTTGCCCGCACTGCAGACATCTATATCAGTCCGCTAATACTAGTAAAGGCCCAGTGCACTACTTTTGTGAAAATATATTTTTTTGTTCCGATTTTTCAGGGGGTGCTGCCGTACCCTCAGCACCACCACTTCCCGCGGCTATGGTTGTATTGCCGTCCGGCACCTAAAAAATGTGCACTACACCATGAACGGGAGGAAGATTTCTGTGTGTGGGGTGGGCTCAAACTGCACCATTTTGTTTCTTTCACTGTGCCTTCTTCAGGGTTTACCCAATAAATTACTGGGAGCTTATATACAGTGTGTGACTCTCTTTATTTTTTTGAGTCTAACGTTACTGTGCACTCATAAATGGGTAAATGTGGGTGGTTGTTTGTATGTGTGTGTGTACACATTTTTGCATGTTTGTGTACAATTTGAATGTTTTCACAACAGTTTGTACATTTGTGTGAAGTCAATTGTATCCCTCTACAATGGGTCCTACGTCCCATCCAGGCTTATTTATACATTATTTTATACTGCATGTCTTTATCATCTCATCCATCCAGGCTGTCCTCTCTACTGAGCAGTCTCCCTGCAGATGTGTCCCGGGACAGGGGGGTGAGCCGAGTTCTGGAGAAACTCAGCCGCTTCGCAGACGAGCGTACCCCCAAGGTGCGACCCCATGTCTTCCTGAAGATGCTGGGGGATCTACAGCCCTGGGAGCTCTGCCTACCTGACCTCAGTGTTGCCATTGAGGTATGAACACATAAAATAATAATGGATTTATAGTGAATTCATTATTATGCTTTATTTGTATAAGGAAGTATAATGAAGCGCATTGTTTCTAGGTGGGTCAGTTGGTTTAAACATGGTGCTTGTTGTGGGTTTGATTCCTGCTTGGGCCACATACAGTATATAACATTTTAAAAAGTGGAACAAATTGTGTGTGTACAAAATATTATTTGATGACATGTTTCCTGACTGCAATGCCTCTGCCTCAGATAGGGAATATCTCAATTGCATACTCCTCTCATCCTCTCTCCTCATCTCCTTCTCAAAACCCATTGGAGGAGGAGGTCAGATGGGCAGGACCTCTGGCTTTCTCATCAAATGGGTTTTAAAAATGAGGCGAGGAGAGAGGATGCGAGTATCAGTGGTGGAAAAAGTTGCCAATTGTCATACTTGAGTAAAAGTATAGATACCTAAATAGAAATTTACTCAAGTAAAAGTGAAAGTCACCCAGTAAAATACTACTTGAGTAAAAGTCTAAAAGTATTTGGTTCTAAAAAGAAAAAGTATTAATCATTTCAAATTTCTTATATTAAGCAAAGCAGATTTTAAAATGTACGGATAGTCAGGGGTACACTCCAACACAAATTATGCATTTATGTTTAGTGAGTCTATCAGATTAGAGGCAGTAGGGATGACCACATGTTCTCTTGATAAGTGCGTGAATTTGACAATTTTCCTGTCCTGCTAAGCATTCATCATGTAACGAGTACTTTTGGGTGTTAGGGAGAATGTATGGAGTAAAAAGTTCATTCTTTTATTTAGGAATATAGTGAAGTAAAAATAAAAGTTGTCAAAAATATACATAGTAAAGATACCCAAAAAAACATCTTAAGGAGTACTTTACACCACTGAGGAGTATGCAATTGACATCTTCCCATAGAGAGCAGTCAGTGGCCTCCTCCAAAACTGTGTTAATTCAACTGCCAATTAATCTCCAGTGCTTGTCAGAGCAGGCCCAGTCTTCATTCAAGCTCAAAAGCACCCACCCCCATGTGAATGTGCAACCTTCTGATCCGGGGTCAGACACGCTACTGCTGTGCCACGCAGTCCTTAGAAACTAGACAGGGGGGCAGTTTTCATTTAATAGAATGCACCCCCTTATCTTTCTCTTGGGAAAGAAATGGAAGGGAGGCCTATGTCGTGAGAAACTGACCACCTTGTACCATCCAGCATTACCAGATCCTGGATAGCTTGAACAGTACCAGACTTGGACTAGGACAATAGCATCTTACCTCACATATACATACTCCTTTATTAACTATATATATACATGTATATAGTACAACCATGAATTCAATTGCAGTCATTTTTGTCCAAGAAACAATTCATAGAGCATTGAATTGTGCCATTCTTCAGAGCTTGGGCTACCAGACCTCGTGGCGCAACGGTAGCGCGTCTGACTCCAGATCAGAAGGTTGCGTGTTCAAATCACGTCGGGGTCAATAGTTTTGAAGTTGAAGGAAAACTGGGCCTGCGTAGACCTGAGGATATAGATGTCTGAACAAACACGGCTTTGGGGGGGAACACAGAACAAAGGCATTGTAGTCAGGAAACATTTTCATAATCAGAGGAGGCTGTCCAGGAAATTATTACTTTTTAATATATCAAATGGTCCATGGTTCAAGTCCCTTTTCAGGCCCCAAAAGTTTAATTGTAAGTTGCTTTGAATAAAAGTGTCTGTTGAGTTACCATACAGTGGGGGAAAAAAGTATTTAGTCAGCCACCAATTGTGCAAGTTTTCCCACTTAAAAAGATGAGAGAGGCCTGTAATTTTCATCATAGGTACACGTCAACTAAATTGACAAAATGAGGAAAAAAATTCCAGAAAATCACATTGTAGGATTTTTTATGAATTTATTTGCAAATGATGGTGGAAAATAAGTATTTGGTCACCTACAAACAAACAAGATTTCTGGCTCTCACAGACCTGTAACTTCTTCTTTAAGAGGCTCCTCTGTCCTCCACTCGTTACCTGTATTGATGGCACCTGTTTGAACTTGTTATCAGTATAAAAGACACCTGTCCACAACCTCAAACAGTCACACTCCAAACTCCACTATGGCCAAGACCAAAGAGCTGTCAAAGGACACCAGAAACAAAATTGTAGACCTGCACCAGGCTGGGAAGACTGAATCTGCAATAGGTAAGCAGCTTGGTTTGAGAAATCAACTGTGGGAGCAATTGTTAGGAATTGGAAGACATACAAGACCACTGATAATCTCCCTTTGGGAGGGTCAAAATGATCACAAGAACGGTGAGCAAAAATCCCAGAACCACACGGGGGGACCTAGTGAATGACCTGCAGAGAGCTGGGACCAAAGTAACAAAGCCTACCATCAGTAACACACTACGCCGCCAGGTACTCAAATCCTGCAGTGCCAGACGTGTCCCCCTGCTTAAGCCAGTACATGTCCAGGCCCGTCTGAAGTTTGCTAGAGTGCATTTGGATGATCCAGAAGAGGATTGGGAGAATGTCATATGGTCAGATGAAACCAAAATATAACTTTTTGGTAAAAACTCAACTCGTCGTGTTTGGAGGACAAAGAATGCTGAGTTGCATCCAAAGAACACCATACCTACTGTGAAGCATGGGGGTGGAAACATCATGCTTTGGGGCTGTTTTTCTGCAAAGGGACCAGGACGACTGATCCGTGTAAAGGAAAGAATGAATGGGGCCATGTATCGTGAGATTTTGAGTGAAAACCTCCTTCCATCAGCAAGGGCATTGAAGATGAAACGTGGCTGGGTCTTTCAGCATGACAATGATCCCAAACACACCGCCCGGGCAACGAAGGAGTGGCTTCGTAAGAAGCATTTCAAGGTCCTGGAGTGGCCTAGCCAGTCTCCAGATCTCAACCCCATAGAAAATCTTTGGAGGGAGTTGAAAGTCTGTGTTGCCCAGCGACAGCCCCAAAACATCACTGCTCTAGAGGAGATCTGCATGGAGGAATGGGCCAAAATACCAGCAACAGTGTGTGAAAACCTTGTGAAGACTTACAGAAAACGTTTGACCTGTGTCATTGCCAACAAAGGGTATATAACAAAGTATTGAGAAACTTTTGTTATTGACCAAATACTTATTTTCCACCATAATTTGCAAATAAATTCATTAAAAATCCTACAATGTGATTTTCTGGATTTTTTTTCTCATTTTGTCTGTCATAGTTGACGTGTACCTATGATGAAAATTACAGGCCTCTCTCATCTTTTTAAGTGGGAGAACTTGCACAATTGGTGGCTGACTAAATACTTTTTTCCCCCACTGTATTACATTTGATTGTCTATATAGAGCTTTTACATTTTTTAAAAGTGTTTTACATTGTAAGGCAAGAATTCACCTCATCCACCACAGTTATTCAGCACCCACCTGGGTGATGCACAGCAGCTGGGCAGACACATTGTAGGACACTAGACCAGGGTTCCCCAACTGGAGGCCCGCGGGTGGTTTTATACAAATGTAAGCAAGGTTTGAAATTATTATGTTTTAGTCAAATATTATATCTGTTTGGGCTTCTTGCGGTCAATTTGCAGTCTAGAAATTATTTGTAATTATGTTCCGGTCCCCCGACCATCTGCTTAAGAAAAAATCGGCCTGCAGCTGAATCTGCACTAGACAGTACATCCCTCTCCACCCCACCATCCAACCCAACATGTTGAGACTAATGATTAGGTACAGACTGCTACCCCTCCACACGCACGCACACACACACACACACACACACACACACACACACACACACACACACAACCTGGCCATGGATGATGATGACAGCCTTAGAACAGAATAAGATAATAACAGGAATTCAGAGTGATAAATACATGGCAAGTAAAACAAAAACACTATAGTAAATACTACAGTAATGACCCCAAAAACACTACAGTAAATACTACAGTAATGACCCCAAAAACACTACAGTAAATACTACAGTAGTGACCCCAAAAACACTACAGTAAATACTACAGTAGTGACCCCAAAAACACTACAGTAAATACTACAGTAATGACCCCAAAAACACTACAGTAAATACTACAGTAATGACCCCAAAAACACTACAGTAAATACTACAGTAATGACCCCAAAAACACTACAGTAAATACTACAGTATACTAGTCAGCAAAAACGTTACAGTAAATACTACAAGCCGCATAAAAACTACAATAATTACTATAGTATATATTACAGTTTTATTTTACTACATTATTTATACTATAGTTAACTGTAAATACTACAGTATTCACTGTAGTGTTTTTGCAGACTTAAGTGCGCAAAAAAACTCCAGTGAAGGCCGCGAAAACAATACAGTGAATACTATAGTATTTACAGTATATCATAGTATAATATAGTATTCTTTCATGTGGGCATAGGATAACCCTTTTTGGTTCCAGGTAGAACCCTTTTTGGTTCCAGGTATAACCCTTTTGGGTTCCATGTAGAACCCTCTGTGGAAAGGCTTCTACATGTAACCCAAAAGGTTCTACCTGGAACCAAAAGGGTTATTCAAAGGGGACAGACAAATAACCGTTTTAGATTCTAGATAGCGCCTTTTATTCTAAGTGTGTAGTATGCTTTGGAACTGTGCGTGGTAACTCTCTCTCTCTCCCTCCCTCCCTCCCTCCCTCTCTCTCTCGCTCTCTCTCTCTCTCTCTCTCTCTCTCTCTCTCTCTCTCTCTCTTCAGATAGCCAGGGAGCATGTTGTCCAGATGTCCAGAGAGGACTATGACTCATGGCTCCTCTCCAGGGTCACTCAGCCACAGCAGCAGGACCACTAACCCTAACACTGACCCACACTGTACACATTTTTACTAATACCAGGAAAATGTACCAGGAAAATGTGACGACCACAGAGGAATGACCCACCCCCCCAAAATACACACACACTCATGCATGCTTGCATGCACACGCAAATATGCTCACACATGCATGAATGCACTCATACATAAATACACACACACACAGACACACACACACCGTGGCCATGGATGATGATGACACCCACATACATGAAGGCTAGTAAGATATAGTTGCCCATAGTCTCTGAACTGACTTAAGGTTAGGTTTTGGGGGAGGTTAAGCTGATCCTAGGTCTGTGATCCCACAGGCAACTCCAATCCAGAGTCTTCCTCCTTTTTATCCATTGTGGGAACCAGGGCTCACATTTCACATCCACTTGTTCTCCGTTTCCCTTTTGTTTACGTTTCAAACAAACTTAAATCATGTCTCCCACGGGAGGATACGCTTCCCTGAGCCATCAAATACCTCCCTGTCCTTGTGCCGTCCCCTTATCCCTTCTCCCTCCCTCCGCCAGTCCTCTCTTCCTCCCTTCTCTTCCCTTTCCACCACCACCCTTTACCTCGCCGTCCTCCTACCATCCTCTTATCCCCCCCTCTCTCCCTCTCCAGTTCCCACCACATCCACCACCCTTCCCTCCCCACAAACATCCCAAACAACAATAAAAGATAGCGTGTTGTTGTCTGTTATTGAAATCAGCCCAATGCCACGCCCATACAGGCTCAGCTCCAGCCTAACCCTTACCCCCTGCCTTGTCTGTTGGATAGCCCTTTTATTGGGGAATAAAAGAGCCTGACCCAATGCTCTTTGCCTCCTGTTAGATAAAGATAATGAACTCTGCCTGGAAACAATTGTTTGTGTAGACTTTGAGTAGACTAGTTGAAAGTTGCTGTGAATGCAGTGTTTCAACAGCTGTCCGTAGAGGTTTTCACAATATCATGATTGTGATCATTAAAACAATAATGATTATAAGGTTACAATGATTTGAATCTGTCTGTGGCACTATATGTAATTTCTCTGTAGGAATATGACTAAATGTTGCGATGGCAATAAAATAACTGTTATCATCATGTGTGTTTTTTCCAATGTTTATTGTCAGCAGATAACTGTAGCTCTGTGATAAGCTGTTGTGTTTTCTCTCTCTTTGGATGGTTGGATTGAGGGAGGGAGCTTGAGCGGGTAGGGGGGTCAAAGGCTTTGTAGACTCCCAGAGGGGAGAGCGGGAGAAGGGCGAGAGGAGGGGCGGAAGGGGAGAACAGGAGACGGGAATGGAGAAGAGAAGGCGAAGGGGGGAGGGGAGCGAGAACGGGTGTCGATCGCACATTTCAGGAATGCCACACAGTCTGAGTTTGAACACCAGAGCTTAACGTCAAATTCGGGGGAGGGGTAGACACATGCTCTCTCATTCTAACCTCTCATTCAGGTTAAGTTCTGAGCATACGGTCTAAATCACACTGGTACACTCTTAGAAAAAAAGGGTTCTAAAAGTGTTATTTGGCTGTCCCCATAAGAGAACCCTTTTGGGTTCCATGTAGAACCCTTTACATAGAGGGTTCTACATGGAACCCAAAAGGGTTCTACCTGGAACCAAAAAAGGTTATTCAAAGGGTTCTCGTATGGGGAAAGCCAAAAAACCTTTTTCAGTTCTAGATAGCACCTTTTTTTCTAAGTGTAGGGTCAGGCATTTGTCCTTGATCATGTGATCTGATCTAGGAACAAAGTCTGATGCTTAGTTTTACCGGTCTAGGTCATGACCTCAGGAAAAAACAACTAGAAAACCCACACATTTGTGTGCTGGTTGGAGCCCTTGGTAATCAACAGAGAATATAAAGTACTGTAAATTGCAACGTTCTGGTTTGCAAATTTTCGTCAGTCTGTGTCCTTGTGCCTTTTTAGCCCACTGTATCAATAGCACAACAACCAAGCTGGCTGTGGAAAATTCAATATTTACATTACAATATTTACTTTACAATTACCTGCAGGCCACTCTATTCCAGGGGTGTAGGCACGGGTGGGTCTGGGTGGGCCCGGGCCCACCCACTGGGGAGCCAGGCCCACCGACTCAGATTGAGCAAAAAAAATATATAATATTTTTTTAAAAGTATTTTGTTATGCTCTTAACTTGTCAGTGTTCCAAACGGGACATTATTTGTATTTGTATCTAAACATGCAAACACAATCATATAGAACTCATAGCAAGCAGTGCACTGGGCTAGTCAGATTTGATGAAATAAAACAGAACGGATGAACTGGAATGACATTCACTCTCACAGGATGGGTTGCCAAAAAGAACTAACTGAAAGCCACACCCCCAATAAGCCTTAAATATGACTGTATTGAGGCATTTGTCACTGTGCTTCCATGGCTATATGTACCATGCCACTGCCAATTTCATATGTTCATTTAGCGAACAACACAGCTCATAATACAGTGCCTTTATCACAGTCAACACACCTGTATTTTAGCTTTAATTAGCTTTAAAAATGCTAAGTTTTCTCTCTGCCCCATTGTAAAATGTGTAGAAATGCAGGAAATTAGCTTTAAAACAGCAACATTGTCTCTCAGCCTCAAGTCGAACTGTGTAGAATAGCATCAGCCTCATGTCAAAATGTGTAGAATAGATTAGCTATAAAACTAGACATTTTTCTCTTTGCCCCATGGCAAAACTGCAGGAAGTTAGCTGCTACCACCCAAATTCACCAACGGATTTCTGGCTACGCCACTGCTCTATTCATGCTTACAGTTGTGAAAGTTTCAGAACGGGAGAGAGAAAAGCGTGTTTGTACAGACTGGAGAGGTTACAAAAACAAAAGGCTGGCCACCGGTGATGTGAAATGTAGTGTTGTGTCAAATATATTTTAACATAAACTACTGATGTTTGGTGAAAAACATACATAACTCTCAATAAATAAAAACATTTATGTGAGAAATGTGTTGGTTGCAGGAAATGTAATTAAGCCTGTGTTCCTGCCATTTTATTAATATGTAATCCTACTGAAATGAATGTGAGTGGATGTGAAATCCTACTGAAATGAATGTGAGTGGATGCGAAATCCTACTGAAATGAATGTGAGTGGATGCGAAATCCTACTGAAATGAATGTGAGTGGATGTGAAATCCTACTGAAATGAATGTGAGTGGATGTGAAATCCTACTGAAATGAATGTGAGTGGATGTGAAATCCTACTGAAATGAATGTGAGTGGATGTGAAATCCTACTGAAATGAATGTGAGTGGATGTGAAATCCTACTGAAATGAATGTGAGTGGATGTGAAGCCATAGAAACAACAACCTGGTTGACAAACTGTATAGTAGGGAGGAGATGATTTAATGTCTAATTCCTGTGTCACAGTTCATATGGTATCATGACCAAAGTATATCTGTTCCATGTGTGTAGTTCCATTTTCCTGGAAGGCCTTTTGGCCCAATGGATGAAAGGTTCCACTCCATCGGCCCTTTGCACAGGTAGACTTTATCTTATCACTACTAACAGAGTTGAGGGCACCGTGGACTGTTCAGTCAGTATTTACTCACTGGCAATGCCTGCATTAATTTCTAACCAATCTAAGCTTTTCAAATCAAATCAAATCAAATTGTATTTGTCACATACACGTGTTTAGCAGATGTTATTGCGGGTGTAACGAAATGTTTGTGCTTCTAGCTCCGACAGTTCAGTAATATCTAACAAGTAATATCTAACAATTTCACAACATATACCCAATACAGTGGCTTGCGAAAGTATTCACCCCCCTTGGCATTTTTCCTATTTTGTTGCCTTATAACCTGGAATTAAAATGGATTTTTGGGGGGTTTGATTTACACCACATGCCTACCACTTTGAAGATACAAAATATGTTTTATTGTGAAACAAACAAGAAATAAGACAATAAAACAGAAAACTTGAGCGTGCATAACCATTCACCCCCCCCCCCCCCCCCCCCCCCCCCCCCCGAAAGTCAATACTTTGTAGAGCCACCTTTTGCAGCAATTACAGCTGCAAGTCTCTTGGGGTATGTCTCTATAAGCTTGGCGCATCTAGCCACTGGGATTTATGCCCATTCTTCAAGGCAAAACTGCTCCAGCTCCTTCAAGTTGAATGGGTTCCGCTGGTGTACATACCACAGATTCTCAATTGGATTGAGGTCTGGGCTTTGACTAGGCCATTCCAAGACATTTAAATGTTTCCCCTTAAACCACTCAAGTGTTGCTTTAGCAGTATGCTAAAGCTGGAAGGTGATCCTCCGTCCCAGTCTCAAATCTCTGGAAGACTGAAACAGGTTTCCCTCAAGAATTTCCCTGTATTTAGCGCCATCCATCATTCCTTCAATTCTGACCCGTTTCCCAGTCCCTCCCGATGAAAAACATCCCCACAGCATGATGCTGCCACCACCATGCTTCACTGTGGGTGAAATGTGTTGGTTGCAGGAAATGTAATTAAGCCTGTGTTCCTGCCATTTTATTAATATGTAATCCTACTGAAATGAATGTGAGTGGATGTGAAATCCTACTGAAATGAATAAATAAAAACATTTATGTGAGAAATGTGTTGGTTGCAGGAAATGTAATTAAGCCTGTGTTCCTGCCATTTTATTAATATGTAATCCTACTGAAATGAATGTGAGTGGATGTGAAATCCTACTGAAATGAATGTGAGTGGATGCGAAATCCTACTGAAATGAATGTGAGTGGATGTGAAATCCTACTGAAATGAATGTGAGTGGATGTGAAATCCTACTGAAATGAATGTGAGTGGATGTGAAATCCTACTGAAATGAATGTGAGTGGATGTGAAATCCTACTGAAATGAATGTGAGTGGATGTGAAATCCTACTGAAATGAATGTGAGTGGATGTGAAGCCATAGAAACAACAACCTGGTTGACAAACTGTATAGTAGGGAGGAGATGATTTAATGTCTAATTCCTGTGTCACAGTTCATATGGTATCATGACCAAAGTATATCTGTTCCATGTGTGTA